GTCTCTTGGAGGAGAGACGAAACGTTTCATTAGAGAAGAACCCGTCCAGAAGACCTATACAATTTTTTTCTTTTTTCACCAGTGTCTGTTCATTTGTCTAGAACATCAGAAAAATCTAAACTTTTGAAGTCAGTCCCTTTCAGGACAGCTACTACAGCTAATTAACCACACAAATGGGGCTGTAACTCAGTCCARTTTACAAATATAGAGCTAAAATTTGACACAGCACATACTTTTAAGTGTGACACCTAATGTCACAAATGTCATTTTCAAGGTTTGACCAAAAAGTCAAAGCCTACTTTCTCAACAGATATTCTTAGTATAAAACTCTGACAATGTTTTTTAAGATCCTACTGATACCATAAACTAATTTTAAGAGTTATACAGCTTCATTAATGACTTAAATATATTTTATATTGAAGATATCACAACAAAATTCTCTGAATAAAACTGGGTTAAAAATGCTCCTCGGATTAGTCCCGTTTTGTCAATATCAATCACACAAGTTTATTTTCATCATTTTAATTACAGAATACTAAAAATAACATTACATAAAATGTCTTTTTAAAAGAAACCATTGAATATTACAAAGGTTGTAAATTTTGTAAAGTTAGGATATAAAATCTTTGAACTGCGGTGCATAATTGGAAAAAAAAAAGAAAAAACTTTCATAAAACGTATATATTAACTGTTCTACTACATTAAAAAAATGAGATGGACACATTGCAGAAAGACGAGATGAGACGACACCGCCATTACTGCGATGAGCTCTCCTTTCCAAGGAAGAAAGACACGAGATGCACAGCACACGCCACAATCAGCTCAAGTTCACAAAATAAGCTCATTAAAATTAAAAAAAAAGAGAGGGGTAAACATTTACAACAGAACAAATGAGCTCAGACGATTGATAGGAAAAAAAAGTGACTTGGTGACTGCTCCCACTGTTCATACACATCTCAACTTAACTGGCCTTGGTTCCATTAACACACCTTTTTATCCACAGGTTCAAGCTGTACAAAAAGTGAAAAAAAAAAAAAGAGAGAAATAGCCTTAAAGTCATTCCACCAAGACAGAAAAACATGATCAGGGTTCCTCCAGTCTGCTAACACAGCCACTACTTTATTCTACTGTACAACTGGTTAGTCAGATCCACTGAAAGTAACCATGGTCATCATTTTAAAATGACGTCAACATTAAGGAAGTGATACAAACTATACACAACAAGGAGGGYGGAGGAGGGGAAACATGCAATACCCAACAGTGTGCTTACTTTCTTTCTTCCTCTTCTCTCTGAGTCACCTTGTATCACTTCGTAATGAGCCCTTGTTTCATTAACACCACAGAATAGTTACGGGGGAATAAATCATCCGAGGACATTCAGAGCATGTTTGAACACAGATGTACCCCCAAACGTGTGACCCACTGGCCGATTACGTCCGAACAGAGGTATTTGATTGGTCTCCTGTCATCTGGGAGACAYACAGTGTCACTTTTTAGACACAAAAAGGGGATGGGGAAGCAATRTTTTTTTAGGACGCTTTTCCAAAATATGTCAAAGATATGGTTTCATTCAAGCTGAGTGGCGGAGTCACCGTTCTTACTGTGCAGCAGCAGTGKTTTTTGTGTCCCGTGAAGAAGAGGTGACAGAATGATTGATATGAAAAGGGCAGGAGGGAAGAGACGAGAAACGAGAGGACATCTCAGAAATAAAAAAAGGTGTCTGAGATGATAAGCATTCAGAAGGAAATGAGGCAAGTGACCAGCAGAGCTACTTGTTTTGGCTGGTCTGTTGCTGAGACAGCTGGAGGTTTTTTTTTTTTTTTTTTCACCCTGGCTCCAGCAGCTGCTGCTTACAGTGTAAGCTTAATAATGCTGTTTAGGTTCAGAAAAGTCCCCCTGAGTTAGTGCACACGCAGACAGGCAGGCCTCACCTGCTTGTTTTAAGAAACCCACAAAAAAGAAGGATTTAGAAAAAAACAAAATCATTTAATATCTATAACAAGCTTAGAATTAGCTTTGGAGAGTGTAAGCCCGTCGTAGGTTTTAGTCTGTGGTGGGGGTGATGTTAGTGAGGAGGAGGAGGGCGGGAAGAGAGTTCAGGCCTAGCGTAGGCAGCCACCCGAGTCCAGCTCATTTTCTAAAAACTCCCCCCCACAAAAGGGGGTTTGCTTGTTTTTGTTGTGTGCGCTTCGTGTTGCCCAACCAGAGACATTTGTTGTCTGAGCATGCATAAATGTTTTATATTGCAATTTGAACATCTGTTGTGACTCTCAGAGAAGTCGGGTCTGCCCGGCAGGCGAGTGGTCGTGAATCTGGTCGGGTGCTGGTGTTGAAGGTAACGCTGACTGTGCGTCAGTCAGTCAGACAGACAGGTGAGACAGGCAGGTAGACTGACAGGATTTGGAAAGATAAGGCTAGATCAGAGCAGCCGTGTCCATCAGGCCTTTGTTTGGGTCCAAGCTGGCAAAGAATCGCACGTCTCGGTCCTTGTCGGACTGCAGAGCCATCACAGTCTCCTCCAGCTCGTCAGAGCAGCCGCAGCCAGGATCCTTAAAGTAAGCTGAACACAAAACTCAAGTCAGTGGGAACGTTTTATAAGTACATACAGGAAGTCCAAACTCAAAACTGTCTAAAAATTAAAAGTCAGCAATAAATGGTTTGTTTGCATCATTAAAAACTGGATGTTTTACAAAAAGTTATTTTCTGTATATACTTRTAATCTAACCAACACACATAATTAAGTTTATAGATTACCTTTCTCCATGACGCTCTGTCGTAAAGCCTTAGCCACCAGTACTCGGACATTAGCCACTGGGTCTGAGGAGAGGCTGAGCAGACTGGGCAAGAGGTGCTGGCTGAACTGATCCATGGGCATGCAGTCTTCTTCAACAACAGCCTACAGGGGGAAAAAACAAAAACAAAACACGAACATAAACAAGAATTCAGTGAAAAAGAATGAATTMAAACCACAAAAATTGACAAACTGAAACAAAAAGAAGTCCATTACAGAATTACAGGAACTGCCCAAGGATGACAGATGACACATTCATATTAGTCACCGACTTGTGCAACACATTTCACAGGCAATATATTCTATATTTTAAGAACTATTACTGAAAAGCAACATTAACATTAGTAGCGATATAAGTTCCAGAAACAAGATCAGTTAGGTGTTTTAACACAAAGCGTCATCACGTATTTATTTTATTATTAGTTCAAAAGTAGCTCAGAAAATGAATCAAAGAGGAATGAAACTATAAAATCAACCCATAAAGTTGATGTGTCAGTTTACCTGGCAGATGAAAGCAAAGGCCTGCCTGCCCACCCACTTAGGACAGTGGCAGAACTTGACGGTGAGCTCGTTGATGAAGTTCAAGCCCAGGTCATCTGCGCCGCATGCGTACAGCTTCTGGAGGATTTCTACCACCTGACAGAAAGCAGAGGTGACGACACGCTAAAATAACTCATCTGACGTCCCCTCCCTCCACCACTCCACGCACTTCCTGTTGTAAACTTACCAGTTTGTACGAGATCCACCTGACTTCTGAGACCTTGTCAGAGCAGAGAGTGAGCGCTATCTGTCTGAGGTAGTCATACACATCGTAGTGGCTGTACAACTCTATGATTAAGATCAGCTGCCTGGGGTAGAACAAACAAGGCAGATTCCAGTGAGTACATTTAGTTGATGGCARTGACAGATAATACAGACGAGCAAATCAAGAAGAGGAAAAACAGATTGAGTAAATGAGCTGAGGCCCTGCAACACTGTACGAGAATTTTGAAACCGAACTGGTGGAAAAGAAAACTTACTCTGCTAGCTCGTATCTGAATCTCCAGTTGCGGCTGTTGTCCGTCACCATGAATTCCTGCAGTTGGTACAAATACTCTCTCCTTTTGTCTGCATGCAGCAGCTGCAGCAAGTACACAACCACACACGCGTCAGCTTRGTTTTCAAACCCAAACCGTTTCAGTCTTTCATGGCATTTGTCTGACAGCTTACCTTCAGAAAGTCATACAGATGCTTGAGCACACCGATGCGAACCTCGTCCAAGTCTTTGAGGAAACCGTTGAAAATGGGCACCAGATCAGCTGCCGTCAACTGGTCCCCCAGGATAACAGCCAGCTCGTGAATGGAGAAGGCCAACGTACGGCGCACCTTCCACTGAGAACGAAAATACGACGGGTCAAAATTACTACAAAAGCAGCCATGGATTCCCAAACGTGTTGTAGCTTCAGCAACAGATGACTACTGAATGTCTAATTTTAGCCAAATAAAATCTAATTCTTRCTACATTGCGTTTCTCACCTGCACATCAGTAGCAAGGGTTTCATACGTGTCCTTCAGGCAATGCCAGTTCTGCCGACCGAGCGTGAGTGCCACACCTGGAAGGCTGAAGGCACAGTGTTTGGCTATTTCTGTGTCCACTGTCTGGGCCCGGGCAGGGTCTGTCATGGAAAGGTACTGATCCAACAGCTGCTGTGGGATCACATTCTGTAGACAGGAAGGCAGARGTTTAATATTAAAAAAGCAGTTTTGATCAACATTCTTAAGAATCTGATGCATTTTAAAATGATTATAAAGATTGTATGTTTATTTTAGCTGACTCACCTGGATTTTAGGCTTCATCTTTGACATTAGGCTGTGAGGACAGTCATCATTTTTCTCCTCTTCAACACTTTCRATGAAGTTAGACTCCTGCAGGACAAAAATAAATAAAAATCAGAAAATTACACAACAAATTAGACCGTCAGATTGCATGCAAAAACACATGAAAAAGATCTTATAGACACAGGAATAAAACCTAGTATTTTATGCAGTAGCAGTTTGTTCAGTTTAAACTTGATGCACAAAACACAGGAAACTGGGCAATCATGGGAAAAACTCAAACTACTCTACAAACTGCCTTGGTTTGATACTGGTTTGGTTTATTACTAAACTTTTTTAATCATTAAATATATAAATACAACACAATACACAATTTTAATTGAGTTTAAATCTTGATAATTAAAAAATATATCACTCTAGATTAACAGAGGAGCTTGATGCTGAGAAGTAAAACAAACGCATCACTTCTTGCCAATTTAAAGTGCCCGTGACACGCATTTTCTTCAAACACAAAAAGTCAAAGAAGTCATCTTTATATTTAAGAAAGTTGGAATAATACACACGATTCAACCTATTTTATCCCATGACTGGCATATTTTCATTTGAACTTGGCTCAGCCAAAGTGAAACAGGAAGTGACATCAAAGGGTAAGTCTTTAACAAAGAAAACTCTCTGGTCTTTATTTATTGAAGCAATATTATTTGAACATCTCTCTGATAGTGACTCAAAATAATCTAAAGAAACATCAGATTCTTCTCCACAGTCTGGGTTGTTGGCCATTTTAGCAAAACTCTGTTCACATGCAGACATTCCCCTTTGACATCACTTCCTGTTACTTCACAGGCAAATATCTCAACAACTGTTCATCTCAGTGACATCAAATTTCTTTTGCAATACTTTCTCTCTGTCCTCTTTCTAAAAATACATTCACRTRTATTACAAACATTTGACGTCACAGGCACTTTAAACTGTATTTCAAATATTAATCCTGCAGCATCGATAACACTGTATGTTAGATAAGACATTAATGACCTACAGAGTCACGTACCAGAACAGGACAGAGTGGAGGAGGCTCCTCATGCTCCTCCAGGGGTTCTGTCTGCGTCTCTTCATCTTCTTGCTCCTGGACTGGGCATGTTTCTGAGGAGGGAGACGTTTCCATTGCTTGCTGCTCCTCTGTGCAGGTTTGCTCCTCTGTGCAGGTTTGCTCGATCTCTGACTGAGGCTCTGCAGCTTGACTCTCTCCTGATGGGCAGTCAGGATCATTTTCAAGCAGCACCTCTGGCTCTTCTTCTGTTGGGCTGCCTTCTGAGGGGCTGTCCAGCTGGGCTGCCCTCAGAGCTGCTGACAATACTTGGACTTGAGCTGGAGGTTAAAATAAAAGTACAAAATATTACACAATCAACTAAAAATGTACAGCACAGCACCAAAACTGTCATCATACGCCCAGGCTCTGTATACTTACCCTGTACATCAGGATCATCAATGTGAGGTTGCAAACAGTCTAAAACCTTCTGGATCTGATCGCTGGTAGCTTTGCCATGGCTGGTATTAGAATCTGAACAATTCTCCTCCTGTTCCTCATCCTTTGCCCCCTTCTCCCCCTCTTTCTCCATTATTTGCACAGATCCCGGACAACTTAACATCTCCAGCTCCTCACTGATGTCTGGTAAAGGAGCTCTCCAATAATTGAAGGAATTAAAGTTCTCATCTGTCTGCTCTGTTTCTTTTGTGTTTCTTGCGTTGTTTGTTGCCGTGGGACTGTTGGTGCTGTCTGTGGTAATGAAGCCGTCTCCAGGACCAGGCGAGTGGTTGTCGTCAAAGTTGTGCGAGTCCTCACAGTCTGCAGTCGACACGTGCTCTGGTGATGGTGTGGCTCGGCCATCCTGGTTGGGGGGCGTGTGGGTGATGGGTCTTTCTTTGTGGCAGCTGCTAATGTCAGAGCAGTTCAAGGGGTTCAAAGAGCAGTTGCTGAAAGGAGAAAATAAATATACAAACACTTTGAGCACATGCTTTTAGGAGTCTATGAAAAAGCATTTTACAAGTTCAACGGTGCATTAGTTTTTAGTAGTAAAAATGTAAATCACTGAGTTAGATCTTTGTGGGAATGTTAACTGAGGGATTTCAAACCACCACTTCAAAAGGTCATAAGATGTACTCTGAGAAATTGCATCAAATTTTTAATTTTTGCAAATTAACGCTTAGAGCAGTAGTGTCCGATTCTGGTCCTTGATGGCCAATATCCTGCATGTTTCTGTTGTTTCTCTGCTCTTCAGTGTGCCTTAAGCTCTGCAGAATAATGTTAATCACTAATTTATTCAAATCATGTGTGTCAAAGCAGAGAAACCTWTAAAACCTGCAGGATAGTGGAACTCAAGAACCAGAATTTTCCACCACTGCTTTGGAGAAACAAAAAAGAGTCCATCCTCACCTTGACAGGTGGATTATTGATGATTTAAAGTTAAAATTTTAGGTGTTGAATCAAATTTTATTTTTATTTATAGAAGTTGGATGAGTCTGATGTGCAGGTTAGCCTCACCTCTCTGATGTACACCTGGGGACCTCTGGAAAGGCACCATCGTCTCTGAAATGAAGGCCTGTGCTGGAGGGGTTGGCGAAGGTGGAGATGAATCGCCCCAAAGACTGAAAGGCAGCCTGTCTCACCTGAAATCAGAGGTGTGTGGYGCCCATTTATTTTACTGTTAAGTCTTACCAAGTTATTCAACAATATATGCAGGAAGCTTTTGTGGCCAGAAGAAAATAAATTTTTTTTAGTTTGTTTGTCTCACCCAGCGGGACTGATCACTGATGAGGTTGATGAACAGGGGTGACAGCTTTGAGCGTCGCACCTCTGGAGAGGTGGAATTTGAGACGGTCATGAAGCACTCAGCACAAGCTTTCCTGATGCCCCAAAGGGTATCTGAGCAAAGGTTGAAGAACTTCGGCATCTACGTTAAAATAATAACAGTCAGTGTTTGAACTGAAGAGGGATTTGTCAACAGCTGGGGAACAAAGGAACTATTGACTTTTGATGGAAAACACATATGACATCATTTTGACCTCATGAGAAATAAAGTCAGCGCAGTGCAGTGGGTACCATGTCACAAACAGGCCTCAGAAAAACACAAACTTGCATGATAAAAAACAAAATTAATTAAAAATAAAATTAAAAAAAGAAAATGTTCTCTGAAGTCTTACCAGTAGTTTTTCTGTGGCCTCCTGACCGACAATAGAGCAAAACTCTCCAAAGTTAGCTGCACACACCTGAAAAATGAGAATGAAATAAAATTACTATATAACAATGTTTTCTTACTAGACATAAACTATGTCTTTATACAGTGAAATATTTGTGACTGACATTAAAGTTTATTAATACATGTATATTTTCATAAAAAAGAGCTAAATTAAAAAAAAATTTAAATGAGAAAATAAATAAATAAATAAAATAAATTAAGAATTGTTCTAAAAATGGAAGAATATTTGTCTTAAAACTGCCGTGAGTTACCTTGTCCATCTACTTAGCCAAATAAAATAATGAACTAACACTGGGTTTTAAAGCAAGGGCTGTATTCTACTTATGGTWCCCGTGTGTGCTAATTATATTCTGTACAATCTAGTAAAAGTAGACTGCAGCCTTCAATAATGCACGTGTGGCTGTGCTACAGTTCAAGTCTAAAACAAATCTTTCGAGAATGTTTCACTAAAATTTGTAGCTCCTGCACCAACTGGCACCAGTTACAGAGCATTAACATTCCACAGGGAGAAACAACAGCTCAGTGTCAGCTAAGCTGATGCGCAGAACCCAGTCGTCGATGACTTGCTTAGTGATTTAATTTAGAGATGGGACGCAATTAAACTTGAGCTCCAGTAAATGCTGTCTCAGCTTTGTTCGCAGATTAAAACAGTTTGTATTCTTAAAGTAATTCTCGACTTTTTGACGGTCTCTTGATGTGGAGATGGGAGGAATGAATTGGGGTTACTTACCTTGCGCACTTGGAAGAGTCTGGCATCGCTGCACAGGTCGCAGAAACGTGGCAGAAGCAGAAGCTCCACGGTGTCTTTGCTCAGCATGGTGACAACTTTACACATGATCTGTTAGAAATAACCCAAGCAGAGCAGGTCAGTACCAGCGAAATCTGACAGGGTCTGAGTTAATGTAACTATGACGCACTTGCATATTAAAATTGAGTTAAATCGAGCTTTTTCACCCTGTGTTGTTAGTATTGTAGGAGGCTGAAAATGAAGGTGTAAAATCTAATTATGGCTGACATTTATGTGTAGCAAAATAAAAAAAGCCAGTAATTAAAATAACTACACTGAAATATTGTACATGTATTTAGTGTATTTGTTTTAAACTTTAAAGTTTAATAATTCAGAAAAAAAGTATTTTGTCACAATAACCCTTTTTTTAATTGAAGATCAATGAGATCAGTGGGTCTCTTACAGCAACTGCCTCAATTTTGTAGTCATCATCACTGCTGGGTTCTGTCAAGTCGAGCAGAACTGGACAAACTTTGGTCTCCATGTCAGCTTTAGAAATGAGGCCTTGCTCCAACAAAACAAGCAGCGCTGCCTGACTCGTCTTCCGAACCTACAAAAAAATAAATAAATAAGGTGGTGGTAAAAAAACAAACATTGAATACTCCAAAATTGCACCAACAAAAATTACTAATTTGACCTGAAATCAAATATAAATAGTGAGGAATGTGAAGCCTACCTGGTTATTTGGGTCAGTGAGATACCGCACGACAATAGGTACTAAGTATCTTGAGAAAGCGGCTGGGAAATTTGGCCGACTCTCGTGCAAAAACATGGCAATGTTGGGAACCTGCTCCATTAGTTCAGCTCGCACCGTGGGCTCTGAGTGCAGACATTAAAGAATACTCTTATTAAAGCAAAATAAAACTGAACAGATGAAAAACAAACACGCAAAAAGAGAAATCTACCTGCATCCTCTGACATTCTGGCAATTGTTTCCATGACACTGGTAAAGTCATTTTCATTGTCACTGAACTCTCGAAGCACATCAAGCAGGCCACGAGCCACGATCTGCCTAGAAAGCAATAGCCTAAGTTAGTAGTTTGCCTGCCAATGACTACAAATGTCAAGCCTACACAGAGTAATGCACAGTACTGACAAAGCTGTCAAGAACATTGTAAACATGTTTGTTGGAAAACRGCAGGAGGGTTTGACTCCTACAAATCTGAATATAAAAAGCATCCAGACAACAAATAAACATGCTTATGTGAAAGCAACAGCTGTAGGACCGCAGAAGCACATAAATAGTAGTATAGCCTTCTGTCTACATGACCTTATTAAAGCTACAGTTTAGTGTTCTTAGGACTGAAGACTTTCTGGATAAAGGGGATTTAAACAACTCTTCTGTCATTTTAGTGTTTTCAACTGAGGAGCTTTGATGTATTTATTTAAAAAGAATTATAGCACAAGACGTGCTCTGCACAGAAAAAACATAATTTATTTTTTACAGGTTTTTTTAGCCAAACTGACAAGTTTCTCCACTATAATTGTTGTGTAATGTAAATGCATCAAAACACCTGGTTAAATTTAGAAGATATTATGATTAACTACAAGCACCTGAAGCTGACTCAGAGAACTCTGTGGTTTTAGAGGAAAATGAAAGTCAAACGTAGACACGGCACCCCCCTCCCCACCCCACTCCACTCCACCCCGCGCGGCTGTGGTCCGCTTGCACACCCGACTCGCATGTGATTAACACTGATTTTTTGCGAAAATTACTGATTTGTTATGCTCATTATACACGAAAATATGTGAAGGGGTTGACATGTGGACTCTGAAGTCCCGGGCCGGTCGGGGCCGCGGTGCACGTGAAGAGGTGCTGTGGCTGCGGTCAAACTGCCTCTCAGCCCTCGCTTTAAAAACAGTCAGATCTGTCGTGGTTTTGTTGTGCTCGTAAATACACGGTGTTACAGGAGAAATGCTGCGAGGTGCTTTTAGAAATATAATATATATAAAATACGACAAAATCCTCGGTGGAAAATAGCTCAGGTGAACACCTCCTGGGAAAACACTCAGCGTTTCCTGGACTGAGTGTCAGTCAGACAGCAGGGCCCGCCCTGCTCTGTTCTGATTGGGTAAAACTTTGACTGTGGTTCTCTTTATTGGGTGAAAGAACCGTAGTTTAATCCTTAGGTGGCTTTAACAAGTTCTTTTTCCTCCCATTCATTTTTACAATGACGAACACCCGCTGATTTTTTCTTGGTTGTCCACCGGACAACTTGGAGGCGGGATCTGGTTGTCCGAAATGAAAATAGGTCGTCTCGGACAACCTAAACAATGGTTATGCCGACCCCTGATGATGTAACTGATATCATACATTTAAAATGTACAATATGCTTTACAAAACTCAAATGAATTGATCTTTATTGTTGTTGCATGGCTTGTATACAATAAACTTAGGAGACCATTCTTAGTTTGGTGCATCTGCAACATCCCTCAAAAACAGTAAAAAATACTCAAAAATTCAAATGTTTAATAAAAAAATGCAGCCTGCCAGCCTGATCACAGGACGCCACTCACCTATTGAACGTATTCTCACTAAAGGCATATTTCTCTAGCCTCCCAAGAGGAGTTAGGTTGTCTTGTCCGGCATCGAGGAAGGCTGTGATGCGGATGCCATCACATTCTGACGAGTAATCATCAAATCCAACTGCAGGAGAGTCAAAAAGAATATTTTACCGCTAGAAAGTGGCTTAATGTTTAAATCGTAGCCATTATGGGTGTTTCACTGTGATGCACACCACTGCGTTCTGACTTTTGTCAATTTTAATTACATTTGATTTGCTGAACACGTGAACTTCGTTGATGCATCTTTGTTGAGAGCAAAATCAGTACTTACAATCATCGAGATCATCATGGCTATCTTCAAAGTATAAAGATAGACCTGCAAGGATAAAGCAATTAGTGGAAGACATAATCATCAACAGACAAATACTGTTTAAACATCATTCAATTTAATTAATTCTTACTTAATATCTTTAGACTAACAGTGGTGTTTGTATTTTATGTCTGTTATGYGTAACAATATTTAAACTGGATTTATTGAAGTGATTTTTCAAAAATAACGCTGATAAAAAAGTAAAAACAAACAGACAAAAAAATAAATAAAATCTGTGTGGTGGCTTCCACGAGAAGAAAAGAGTTGTGGGATGACAGTTTTACTGCCTGACAATTATTAAGAAGGGACAAAGTCTCATTCTAGTAAAACTGACAACAAATCATTGTGTTGTTGTGGATTAATCATGCTGTAAAGCCTCACACACTGAAATCACAGGATCTATGTGTGACTTGTGGCTTTAGTGATGTGTTTTGCTACATGATATTCTTTTCATTTTCAACTGCCAACATAAAGTCTAATCAAAACTGTTGACAAAATTTGATATTACAGCTATATCCTGCTATTGGGATTTTTCAAGTGTTACTCAGCCAACTGGAGTGGTTACATTTTGTTCTGTCATCTATATACAGGATTCCATTGATTGCAGTTTGAAGTTATTTTTACACTTTATATGTCCACCTACTACAGTTTTACCAAATCATTTCTGTCAAGCAGGTTTTTTTTTTTGTTTGTTTGTTTCCCCAGCCCCTTGATTAATTTGAGACTAATTTTGTCAAAATATGACAAATTAAAACTAATGCTCAGTGATTTTAGCTTTTATTCATATTTATGTAAATACATTCTTTCACCTGAATGATTAAAACAGAGAATATTTATAAATAAAACACACAATCAGGATACTTATTTTGTTCGGCTGTGCCAAATTATGAAAACTGTAGTTAAAAAAATACTACTCGTCTTTGCCTAAGAACAGATTCAAAACCACCTGAATCTTTCTGGGCTATGGTTTCTGTGACAAACATTATTGTAGTCTAAAATCTACCTTTAATAAACAATAATGTCATCAAAAATAACATTTGTTGCCATTTATTGTTTATGGATGTAGTGATATATATATATCACAACTTCTACTGTTTCTTTACATTAACTATTACAATGTTTCTGATGTTCTGCTGATAGATACATTGCTACATACATTGCTTTTAGTGCAATAATTTTTATTGTACTATTTATAACTACGTGCTGACGACGCTACTCCTGTTTTTAACAAGACTAAAGGTTCTCGCTTAACTTTACAAGAGTGAAAATAACTTCATAAAACCACTCAGTCCTGAGTATATGACAATGGCTTAGTAAAAGCTAGAGCCCAGAAAGACAGGACAAGGAAGAGAAGCATGTGTTACAGCTGGGAGGGCAAAGGAATTTGCTCCAAATTTTAAAACAACCCCCTCGACATGACAGTCTGGTTCTTATGAGTGAATCGGGAAGCGTTACCAAAACATCAACAACAAAATAATAACAATAAAATAAAAGTCACCCCCAAAACACTACTGCAAAGACAACATATCCGCTTTGTTATGAAGAGGATTTGCTCAGCTTATGGCTGATACTGACTGTGGCTACCCGGCTAACATTAGCTAGGTCAACTCGATAGCCTTTTCCTTGATACATTATCAAAAATTAACCCAACTTCTAGGGTACAATGGCGTTTAAACACGAAACTATTTTGATGGTTTATTGTTATTTAACTTCACAAGATGATAAGTTGTTTTTTATTACTTCCGAAACGAATTATTTCGACACCCCGGGTAGCTTCATATTCCAGGCTAGCCTGTCTCGCTAAGTCGGCTAACACGGTTTGTCCAGCGTTTGACTTGACTCTCATAACTCTACACTTAGCTTGATAATATTGTACAAGTAGTCAAGTTTTTTTGCTGCTCAGTCAGCAACGAGCAGCACAGCATGACTTATAAGTACCAAAAGCTTTAACATATAAAACAAATAAGGTTTAAAAAGTACCACTACCTGCCATCTTGAGTATCGGCTCGGCTGCTCTGCTGGCTGCCGGTGTTGTGCCGAAAAATGTACCCCTTCCGTATAAAGCACCCCCTTGTGGAAAAGACATTTCAATGCATTAAATGAGTAAAACAAGACAAGTTGATCCGTTTTTAATCCAAACAATACACCAAACTACAAATATTCTATAACTGATATATAAATGTTACCTAGAGTCAGAGCTTTATATAACAAGCCAGGTTAGCAGAATATATTCTGCCAAATTATTTCCCCCCTTTGTATCACTGTGTTTGGTATTGTTAGTTTGTGATGGTGTCAGTTAGATTATTATTTAACTTAATAATAATAATAATAATAATAATAATAATAATAATAATAATAATAATAATAATAATAATAATAATAATAATAATAATTAATGTCGGAGGGACCTTTTCACAGTATGGGTGCTTTTTGCGGTACAACACCGTCCGTGCAGTGTGGGCTGTCACCACCGTGCAGCTGTCACCACCGTGCAGCTGTCACTCAAACACGATAGAAAACTACTTCCTGAAGCTTCTTCCTGATGCTACTATTTCAGTGGTAAATTGAATTTTAAAGAACTGCCCAGTATACCCGCTGTTCAGCTCTGGAACAAGCTCGAACTAACTGCATGTAAAACAGAAGTTAGAGGGCTTCTTTGTGTAATTTCCGGGAAAAAAAAAGCCGATACTGTCACGTGACCACACGTCGTAGTTCAAGATGGAGACCTTACGATTTGGTGGTTTTGCTGTTAGCTAGTTAGCTGTCTAAGAAAATGATCATATTTACAAAGACAAACTAGGAGGTGTTTTAACGCTTTTATCAATCGTTTTTGGCTAACTTAAAATGTGCATTTGCCAGCTTTCTATTACGATGACGTGTGTTTAAACACAGACAGACTACCTGAAGCATATTGAAAATTGAAAGCAAAAAACATGAAAGAAAATTGTCAATGATATTTCTTAAACTTATTTCGCAATAATTCGATATGGCTTTAAGAGAGTTAAAAGTTTGTCTCCTGGGGGTAAGTTCGAATTGATTTTTTTTATTTTATTTTACAATGTGTTGCCAACATATTATGCCATCACAGCTAACTGCCCATCTTGGGGCTGAATTGTTACTAATGAACAAGTCTCTATTACATAATTATTATGCGTTTTTAAATTTGCGATATGTTGTTTCACAAAAAACCTGTGGGTCTTAGTGGTATTAACAAAAAGCACGAGTAACGTGACGAGACAAGTCACTATCACATGAATGCATTTCTGAATATTTTACTCAATAGCATCTTACTGTGTATTTTGCTACTTGGGAGCCAATCTTTTACTCTTTAAAAGTTGTCATAATCAATATTGTTTTGGAGGGGGGCCTTTTAAAAATCTTTTTTTTTTTCTTCTGTTCAATCCTCGTACAGACTGTGACAGAAAATTGCAGATGAGTGTACGTCATTTCCCCCTTCACTTCATTTGAGTCAGATAAAGAAACAGGAAGGATATACCGGTAGTCATGCAACATAAATAGCTCATACCAACATTATAAACAGTAATATTTTCCACCAGTAGCATATTAGATTTACACCCCATCCTACTTTTTACATTCTATAAAAAATACAAAAACATTAACACTTTGTTTTTGTTTATTTCTCTATACGTTACAGCTTACATGGCAGGATAGAAGAAAATGCTACAAAAAGAGATCATTGTTTCTGACATTGTTATGAATATGTCCCCTTTGTTTTGTCACTGCAGGATACTGGTGTTGGAAAGTCGAGTATTGTTTGTAGATTTGTGGAGGACAGCTTTGACCCAAACATAAACCCRACAATTGGGTAAGTTCTGTCTGTTTCCTGTGCCGGACTGTCGTTGTTGGTGTTGACAGTGATATCAGTTCACAGAAAGTGAGCTCACATCTTAATACTCTACTGAGTGACTGAAACATAAATTTACAATGGCTCTGTCAAACCTCTGTTGATTTGATTTAAAAAACCCTATTACATGTATAGTGTTATTCCTAGCTTATCTTAGGGTTCTACATTTTTTGTTGTATTAGATGCAAACAAAGTAATTTTTGATTTGTCATATTTCTTACACCATTAGAACCATCAGTTTATTAGATAATGAGCATATATATATATATATATATATATATAAAGTAACTTTATCAGAATGATGAGTACTAACAAGTCCTAGAACTTTTATATACCTTCAAAAAATTACAAAGTGCTTTACAGCCATTTAAAATATAAAATACAATCCAACAAAACATCGTGATGATAAAAGCATTATGAAAAGATCACAATATGCTAAAATAAAGTGAACAGTAGGATCATAAAACAACRTATCTTGCCATTGACATAACAACCACGAATGAATAAAGTAAAAACACCTGAACTAAAGCTCATTAAATATGGTTGGATGGATATATACAATATTACTATAACTCACGACACAAATCACAACATTTTATAAACATCCTGCTTCGACATTTTTTTGCAGTGAAATTTTTGTGTTTGTGTTTCTCCAGGGCGTCCTTTATGACCAAGACAGTGCAATACCAAAAYGACCTGCACAAGTTCCTGATCTGGGACACAGCAGGACAGGAGCGGGTTGGTATTATTTCTGAAGGTTTTCCTCTAACGTTTACTGAGCTGTTTGATTTCGATGTCACTTTGGACTAGGCGGAAGTGTATTTATTATCTATGTATGGTTTTAAAGTGAGCAAGCGTGGCAGTGCCTAAACCAGCCTGTAGGCACGTGACTCCTGCAGTTAKTTATTACTTCTGATAGGGGGCAACCTTTGCCTATCTATAGGTAAAGTCCTSCCATCACAATAATAACTTACTTCTCCTTGTGCTTTTGTGTTAGTTCTCAATTCCCATTATGTGATACATAATGAAATGTAATGTAGCTGTTTTTTCCTTTTTTAGTAAATCAATTTTATTTAGTCTTGAAAGATGAACAAACAAATCTATTGCGATTTATCCTTTCTGTCCCCTTGAATTTTTGGGTTGTGTGTCCTTTCTGTCTTTCTGCATGACACTTTTACATTTCAGGCACAAATTCAGGTTTTCGTTTGTGATGTTTTGTGTTTCTGAATATTGTTCCTCACAAAGACATGACAGTTTTTGTTTTATTCCTGTTTAACTGTAAATGTGTTTAAATTAATATTCCATATCATTTTCATAAGAAAGTACACAACACAAAAGAAAAAGACACGTGTTGTTAGTCACCTTTATATTCAGTGAAATTGACACCAGTCCCCAGGCATTTATAGTGCAAAGATGGACTTTCTCCTTTGACTCACAAACAACAGCCCACATTTCTGTGTCCTACATATCCACTTCACTTCCCTTTTTTTTTCCTGTGCAGACTTCCCTTTCTCGTGTTTAATCTTCTGCTATTGTAATGTCACATCCCTGCTGCCGTTTTCTCCAGAGAGGTCAGATAAGATGCTGCTTGACATTTATCCTTTGTCTCCCTGGAGGCTTTACTGTTTAAGGGGACATCCATACAGCCCTGTTTAAGACAAGACAGGGCGATAAACTCAAACTGTCTCACATCATTGACGCGCTCTATTGAAATYTCAACAGAGAGCCACTTCACTTCAGAATGTCCCTGGCTTTTCTTTTGTGTGTGCAATTTTTTTGCTGTTTTATTCCCACTATTCCATTTTTTAATACATGTGGCCTTCCACTCTCCAAAGTAGTTCACGTCTTTGACTGTAAAAAAGGAAATGCACCATGTGCCTTTATGGATTTTTCCCACAGCATTTGTTGTGGTATTTTGAGCCTTTCTGTTTCTTGTTTTCTAATCTGTTTGAAGCTTTGGCATATCAGAATCCAAAGTRGAATATGAAACTGGCTAAGAAACAAAAATATAGAAACACAAGYAGAAWTGAAACTCCTGAAGAGRTCTTATCAGGGTTCCCAYGGRTCCTTGAAATCCTTGAACGTTTGTGAATTTGTAAAAAGGATTTCAAGGCCCTGGAAAGTTTGTGAAAACAGCCAAAAATTACACTAGTCCTTGAAAGTCCTTGAATTTTTTTGGGGGGATTGAAGTTATCTATATACACGACTGATTTTCATCATCTGTAAAAAAATAAAT